TAAACAAATAACTAGGAAAAGAGCATCCATCCAAATTACCACCATAATCAGAATCAACAAAACAATTCATACCAATGAAATCTGATTTCTTCCAATAAAATAACTAAAGCAAGATGCAGCATACCTTTCAAATATTGCAATATACACTTATCAATGTTCCAATGAGCCATCCCCGAATTATACATAGAACGGCTCACAACAGTAGCAAAATATGCCAAAATTGGAATAGTGCATGCCATTGTAGGCATAAAATTACCACTAGCAATAAAAATAAAAACATCGGCCATACATTTACGTCATCCTTGAACTTTGGACAATCACCTCCAGATAATTTGAAATGTACACCTAATGGAGTGGCAATGGGTTTCAATTATCCATGTTGAAGCGACTAAGAACCTTTTCCATGTATGAACTTTGCGAAAAAAATAATTTTCCAGTATGACAAATTTCCATCCCAAAATCTTCTGAGCCCCACCCAATTACTTCATATTGATTTCACAGCTTAACTGGCCTTTGATTTAGGAATCAATGGCATGTTGTAAAAGGCAATAAACATGTCGTCAACATAATGCAGTAAGTACAAAAGAATTATCTGAAAACTTCTTAAAATAAATGCAATCATATTGACTGCAAGAATACCCATGTTTGATCATGAAAGAGTCAAACCTTTTGTACCAACGTCTCAGTGTTTGTTTCAAGCTATAAAGAGATTTCTCTAGTTTATAAGCCAAATACTCTTTTCCAAACAAAAACAAATACTTTCAGTTGCTCCATGTAAATTTCTTCAAGTTCATGGAAAGCCTATTAACATGAGTTGCTCCAAAATCTAATCAAATTGAGCTACTAAACCAAATAAGACACATTGATGTTTGTTGCACAATTGGTGCAAGAAATCTCATTGAAATCAATGCTTTCGCGTTGATTAAATCCCTTAACCAATCACGCTTTAAATCGAGGTCTTTCAACCCTTGAAGTGCCTCTCTTCTTCTTGAAGATCCACTTACCTCCTAATAGACATCTGCCACTCGGAAAGTCACAAGATCTCATGTTTTATTCTTATAGAGCCATCATCACTTCATTTATTGCCACCATCTACTTAGACAATCAGCATTGTTAGAAATTTTGAGGGAAAATAATGAGATTGTCTTATTGATCATCAAAATAAGAAGCCTATATATAGGCAATACAAAACAAGACTCGATAAACTCAAATCTAAATAATCTAATTTATGAATAAAATCAAATCTAGATATAAATCTAAAACTGAATATTTAAAATATCTCAACATCCCCTCAAACTAAAAAAAAAAAAACATAAATAAAATTAGCAGTTGACTCTCCACCTACCAGAGTCGAAAACAAGATGACTATCCACCGGAGCCGAAAACGACATGACTCCACCGGAGCCGAAGCCGAAAACGACATGACTCTCCACCGGAGCCGAAAACAACATGACTCTCCACCGGAGCCGAAAACGACATGATTCCACCGGAGCCGAAAACGATATGACTCCACCGGAGCTGAAAACGACATGACTCCATCGGAACTGAAAACGACATGACTCTACCGGAGCCGAAAACGACATGCACCAGAGCCGAAAACAATATGACTCTCCATCAGTGCCAAAAGCGATATGAATCCACCAAAGCTGAAAACGAGATGACTCTACCGGAGCTGAAAACGAGATGACTCCACCGGAGCCGAAAACGACATGACTCTCTACTGGAGTAAAAAACGACGGGAGTACTCTCCACAAGGTCGGAAATAACGGGACTCTCATTGTAATCAGAAACATGACTCTGGAGAAACAAAGCAGATGGATCGCAGAATCGCAGACAAATTTCAAATTGCACGCAAAAACAAACAGGCAGCTAACAGATGACAGATCGCAGACGAGAAAAATTTGCAAAAAGACAGCCTTGCAAAGGCATGATCTCAGAATCACAAGATCATCTCAAAGTCACAAGACCATCTCAAAATCACAATACCTTCCGGTACAATTCAGGTTGAATGTACCCGAAGAAACACGGGTTGGTAGGCTATATCTACTGCATGAGAAAAATAGACTCTAATACCATGTTAGAAATTTTAGGGAAAAATAATGAGATTGTCTTATTGATCATCAAAATAAGGAGTCTATATATAAGGCAATACAAAACAGACTCAATAGATTCAAATCTAAATAATCTAATCTATGAATAAGATCAAATCTAGATATAAATTTACTAAATCTAAAACTCAATATTTAAAATATCTCAACAAGTATAAGCAATAGCATTAGAGTAACTACCAAGTTCATCAGCTTCCTCTATTTTTTGTGCAACAAAAAGTGCACATGTCATCACAAACTATTCATAATATCTAGATATTTGTTCAATGTTTCTTCTTGAATGATCTCTAGCAATAGAAAGACTAACTTGTTAAGTGGTATTTGAACATCAATTGGCTAGTGGAAAGATGAAATTAGTTAAAGAGGTGTTACATCCCCTTCAACCTTCTTAACAATTGAATGTTGTTGGCGTAAACAATAGCCTTTTATTCTAATGAATATCCAAAAAAGAGTTCTTTCAAATGGCTCCAAAAAATGAATGTCCATATTATTGACAATAGTAATCTAATCGATCTACTTAAACTCCACTCAATCCCCCATTTAAAAACACAATATGCTCATTACACCCCTAAGAATCTATACCCTGCTAGACCGTTGACTAGTTATCTCAACTATGGTACTGTAACGGGTCAACTCTGATATCATTTGTAACACCCCGGTCGATTGTCACCCTCTCTTTGCAAGCCAAGCATGTTGTAAGATCGTAGACTTACCAACGAGTTTTTTAGGGAGTCCACTTAAAAAAGAAAAAAAAAAAAAAAAAAAAAAACCTCTAAAGTTAAGCCTGTTTGATGACAACTTAGGAGGTTTCTCAAAGTGCACATGAGTGAATTAAGCGTGCTATTAGGATTTATGTTGATATGTAATGCCAACCTACGATCCTACAACTTGTCATGTCGATCTTTAGGGCATCCTACAATCCTACAACATGTCTGGCTTGAAAAGAGAGATAACGGAGTGGAGTGCTACAACCTATCCAAACTTCAACTTAAATTTTGAAGTCAAGATCCAAGCATGGTGATTAATTCACCAGATAACAGTGTTGAAACAACTTCAACATTTAAAACTCAGCAATGCCATAACCTAGCATTATAGGGCATGCAACGAATTCTCTCCAAAATAGTCTTGTAAACTCATTCTATAATATCATTCTGTTGTGGTTTCCTTAAAAGTGTCCTAAGCTTCATCCTTATGCTTTAAGAAATATATACCTTGGGCTTCAAGGAACAGTCGTGAATCAGTGTCATCATTATATCATTTCCCAGTATAATGGAATTCTAGACGGCGCCCATGCATTCAAATGTATATAATCATAGATACCACATGTGTTGTTAGTTGTTGTAGAGAAGTTGACCCTTTTTGGCTTACCAAATATACAATGCACCTACAATTACAATTTATTTATCCCTTTGATCATCAAGAAATCCCTTAGGACTTATTACTTTCAAACCTTTTTTAGTAAGGATAATGATGCAATAGTTGTAATTGAATTTGCCATTCTGGAACCTTGTTGAACATATGGACTCCCTACATGATTTGCTTCCAAAATAGTCAGGCTCCTGTGGAGAGTTTAAAAACACCACCTCGGAAGAACACCTATACCCAAGAAATTCAAAAGTACCTAGAGAAGTTAAATTACTCTTTAACACGAGGAACATATCTCACATTCATTAGAACCCAAATGATTCCATCATGAGTTTTTATTTGGACAGAACCAATGCCATAAATGCAACATTGAGCATCATTCTCCATTGGAACCAAACAATCATTGGTAGCTTTCAATGATATAAAGCAATCTTGATTGGGACAAATATGGAATGTGCAGCCTAGATCCATTGTCCACTCACTCTTTGACCCTTCTTCGGAAGTCATAGAAAAAATGTGCTCCTTATTTGAATCGGAATTGACAGCAGCTACTTCTATTGGGTTCTTACACTTTCCCCTTTTCTTCTTTCTTGTTTTTCATCTTATAACAATCAAACAATCACATGTCTGGCCTTTTCACAATAATGACAGATTATATTCGACTCATGTTCCCCTAAGTCGGAACGTGACTTCTTATCTCCAACACCTCTCTGAAAATTCATTCCAAGAACAACTAACCCTCTGCCTCACCATCAACACAAACATCACGATCAACACATATTTGACTTAACCTCATCAAAAGACAAAGTATCAGAATTGCCATAAAGCATAATTTCCCTAAACTGGTTGTACAAAAGAGGCAATGACTAATGAGACAATCAAACAGCTTTATCTTTATCATCAATTCTAACCTAAAGATTCTCTAAAATCGAATTAAACTCATTCAAATAAGATTGAATGGGGAAACCTCCAGACAGATGCATGGCATGGAGGCATTCCTTCATACAAAGATTGTTGGCAAGTAACTTTATCTTGTATAGAGATTCCAAATTATTCCACAATCCAGCCAATGTTTTCTAACCACACACAGAACTTCATTGGACAACATTAGTTGAATAGTTGTCTATGCCTTTTCATCCAAAATCATCCTAGTCTCCATCGGACATAATATTTGGTTTCCTACTTTTCCTTTCCAAAGCCTTCTTCGAGACCCATTATAAACTAGAGTGCCTACATTTAAATTCCTAGGTAATAAAAGATTTCCTACCATCGAACTTCTCTATCTCAAAACTTGTAAACTACATCTTTAATTGTAGAAGCCTTACAGATTTAAGGAAATTCTGAACGAACCAACAGTCGAAGAAATAATACAAATTATAAAAAAAAAAATTAGACACCTGGAAAACACAAGATTGGGAAAAACTACGCAAAAAAATTCAATAACGTAAAAGTGATTATAGCAATCAACAAACTGCAGGAACATACAAAGTAGAATATCATCAAATCAACGGAATTTAGATGGCATACCTTCGAAGAGGCTTCGTCACAGCCATGTTGCAAATGTATGGTGAACTTTTAGGCGGAGTGGGAGTGGGAGGATTCGCGTTGGCACCCTGTCGATTAAAAGTCAATTCCACAGTCCCTGCCAGCTCAAAATCTTCCTCCCCATTTTCCCGATAAATCCCTAGGAGTGTAGCATTGTGAGGCATTTTCTCCCTCCTCTCAATCAGGTAATTCCTAATCAGGAACTCCAGAAGTTTTACATAACCCGCCGCAATCATCATCGATTCAGCAAAAGACTCTGCCAACAAGGTCACAGCCAAGTCCATTTCCTCTTCCCTCATTACCCGAATCCAAAGAAATCCTGACTCCAATTCCTGATGGTGGCTGAATTTCCCGAGAAATTCAAGCTTTTCTACATCCTCGTTGGTCAGAAAACGTCCCGTTCGAAACTGGTTTTGGGGCGGCGACGTGGAAGATGAAGATGAAGAGGAAGAGGAAGAGGGGGAAGCAGCTGAAAGGGGTGCGGAGTGATTGCAGTGGGTGCGCTTGGGGAATCTGATGAAGAACTGGCGGTGGTCTACGGCGGAGAGTGGCGGCAAGTGGCGGGGACCGTGGTGGTGGTGGGTGTGCGGGGGAATGGAGACGGAAATTGTTCTCGCCATGGATGGATCGGGATTGGAAGGAACGAAATGAATTAAGGATTCCAAATTCTTACAAGATAATTTGACTGCTGGACAGCTCCGCTCCCTCCCTTCCGTTGGATTTGGTTCGACCTGGCCATGGCCATGGTCCATTCCCGTCGCTTGAATATCCTCTTTCATGACCCGACTCGTTATTACCGTATTCATATCCAAAATAATTGTGGTTATATTGGATTAGATTGGCTTAAATAAACTTTAAATTGAATTAATATATCAGCTTATTATTAAATTAAAATAATTTCAAATATATCAATGTAAATAGTAAGATAACACACTTTCATTCATTTTGTTACTATATATTTTCTCTCATAAAACATCAAATTAAATTCTAACTTTTTTATTTTTTTTTATTTTTATTTTTTATCTTTTACCTGGCTGGTTAGCTCTGAATCAGCTCTTAATGGGACGGGTTCGGATCTAACAAATATGATTCGAGACGGGTTATGGATTTTAGGTTTTAAACCCGAGCGGATTCGGTGTGAGTTATGGGTTTTATTAAAAATATGTCCCATTCCGGACCCGAACTTGAATATTTTGATAATTATTAGAATTAATATATATATTTAAAATTTGTGTCCATGTTTGTTTCATCCTCAATTCTCTTCACAATCGATATTACTGGCATGGCATCGCCTGCTACCGACCACCATCACTGCGGATATTCGCTAACATTTGATTTTTTGCTTTTGGAACTAAAATTTTGTCTCGCTCGTCAACCGCCATCATTGCAGAACACCGTCAACTTTTGATTGTTCTTATTTTTTAAACTAATTTTTTTTAACTTTAACAATTACTTTTTTTAAGTATTAAATTATTAAAAGAATTATATTATAGTATTTAAATAAAAAAAACAAAACGAGTTTGCCCCGAACCCGGAGTGTTTGGGACAGGGCGGGTCTTGGGGCGGGCTGAAGCGGGGCGGGACGGGTCTTGGGGCCTAATATTTTCTAACGAGACGGGTTCTGAGGCTTGCAAAACCCGTCCCAATAGTGCTAGTGGGAATCGAACCCAGAATCAAATTGGGGTAAAATAAGATATTTATCAATTCATAACGGCCGGTTTATTGACCTATCATGCCAGATACAAACTGAAGATTTTGGACCTGATTTTTAATTGCCAAACAAAGTTTTTTGTGCCTGGATCGAATTTTTGAACCATGTCTATTTTTGTCACATTTGATTTACAATGTGAAACTTTACCCCTGATTGCCCTTTCATGAACATTTCTCAAACAAGATACATATTTTTTTTTAGTAATTTCACAGTTTGATATAGTAACTTTAACATAATTTATTTCAATAAAAGTAGTATTTATAGCTAGAGGCTGACATCAGATCAAATATTCCTTGTTTAAATAGTTCGACCTAGATACCCAAAATATTGAATACTTTTTTTTTTTCTGAATATTCAGTATCTTTGAGTTTTTGTATTTAATTTTTTTTTTAGTATTAATACAAAATTTATATGCATATAAAATATCAGTGCTAAATAATTTTCAAGTTTTATTTAATTTTTAACTATAAATAACTAAAAGAATAGCAAATAATATAAATAAATATTATCCTGCAATTATAAATTTACAATATCTACATTATTCTATTATCTATGTTCTATGTTATCAGTACTATCATGCATATACAATCTACAATGTTGTTTTATATATTATTATTATTTTACTATACAAACTTGTTTTTTAGAAACTTACTGTTTTTTTTTTTTTTTTTGGTAAAAATATATGTGTTTACTTGAGTAATTTTCATCGTGATTTTATTATTTCAATATTTTTTACTTCAAAATATAAAATCAAACACTTATTTTTTATTTATTATATTACACTAAAATTTATTTTTACATTCAAAACATAACATCAAATAACTATTTCAATTCAAAATTTTATTATTCAAAACCAAAACTCAAAATAAAAATCTCACAAATAATATATTGAATACAAACATTGTTCTTAAACCCAAATTTCATTATTCTTGGAATGACTCAAATTGAATCCATAGCCTATGGGAAAAGAAAATCTTGCCAAAAGGAAGTCCAATAAAGCCACGAGTCAAAGAGAACGGATCGAAAAATAGTTTTTCTTTATTGAAATGAAATCAACTCTGAAAACACATAACAATCAAAGAAGATATGACATTCCTTACAAAACAACGAATTTAATAAACTCATATTAAAATAAGGTTATAGCAAAGAGTCCAAGATATTAAAGATCCATTAATGTGAAAGTAACATAGTAGCGACTCTTGTAAAAAAATATTTTGAAACCTATCCACACGTGAAAATGGAATTATGGAGATAATTGATAAATAAGGATTTATACCATTTTAGAATAAAAGTAACATATACACAAAATGATAAACACAATCAGAAACATCTAAAACAATTTTTAACGTTTTGTTTTTCTTATTTTTTTTATTTTATTTTACTGGATATATCCACACATAGACAGATAAAATAGAATTGTGAAAATACTTGATGAATAGATAAATTTCCTATTTTTAAATAAAAATAACAAGTACACAAAATGAAAAATAAGTTAGAAACATTTCAAATAATTCCTACCATTTTTTTCTTGCTTTTCACTATATTCTCTTGCATTTTTTAAAAAAAATTCATTTTCAATTTATATTCTTCTATGCATTTTTATGATATTATTTACATTTAAGTTAATTTAAAATTTTAATATTCCTTTAAAACTTAATCTATTCAATTTTTTCATATAAATTTTAAAATATTAATATTTTATATGTATATTATTGTAAAATATAATATGTATTTTTTAATCTCATAAAAATATAATTATAAATATCATACATTGTATATTGAAAATATTTATAATCTATTATTTTATTGATACTACTATTATTCAAAGGAACAGTTTATATCTATTTTTAAAACTATTTATCAATATTACGTGTATATAAAAAGTTATCAAATTAAATATTTAATTTTTTATTATTTAAAAAAAATCTATTTAAATTGAGCTAACTATTTAAATTATAATATTTTTATTTTAAATTAAAATCTGTATACCCAATCAAGTATTTGATATTACTTTTCATATTCAATATTTGGTTTGATTTTTTGACGAGATGTCTTAAACTCAAATATATATATATATATATATATAATATTTAAAAACATTGACCTAATTAAATCGAACTCAATTGGATAGCTTTTTCAATTCTATCCTTTTCTATAACCTAATTTTCTCTCCACTTTTAGAATTAATTATATGATGTTTGCATCATTCCTCAATTATGTCTATATATTCTAATCTTGTATTTATATGAAATATTTCATCTAAAGTTTTTCAAATAGGATAATTAGTCATTTCCAATCATTGTAGCTTTGAAAATGAACCCTCTACTCTTTTTTTTATCACTAAAATCTAATTAAATCTTGTTTTCCCTCAATAAAATATTTTCAAGAAACCTACTCTAAGTCTCTAATGATGTTGAATATAATTTAATCCGATCTAAATTAATTTTTATTTTGGCATCTAAAGGAGTTTTATGGTAAAAATATTATTATCAATTATATAAATCAATATTTAATCAATTTCACATTGATCACAATCAATTATTCACATCTTTTTACTCTTTATTCTTAAACACAACCTACATAAATAAAAAAATAAAAAAAATAAAAAAAATAAAAACTAGATCTAACACTCAATATCTCTATTATCAGTTATGTAATTCAATATATTAATATATTTCACACCTCAATCAACTATATACATCTTTCTACTATTATTATTAAATACAACCTACATAAGTAAAACAAATAAAAATAAAAATATCTAGATAAAAAACTCAACACCCCTATATGCTAAATTGTCTTATATAGTTATAAATATAAAAAATAAAAAAAAAAATGAAATTGTTATGCATGATTTATTAAATATGTCATTTTATCAATCTAAAAATTAGGAATGATAAAATACTAGTGCAATCTTCAATATGAATTAATTTTAAAATTATCTTCAAATTGATCAGGTATAAATAGCCAATTATATTTATATATATATATATATATATGATGACTTACTGATAGCAACCTTTTATTTGAGAAGTTTAGTCATTTTTATTTTTATTGTAAATCAGTTTTTAAGATGATTTTTACAAATATCTTTTATTTATATATATATATATATATAAGTATATCCTATTTTGTTATGTATTTATATTTTAATTGAAAGTATAGAAAATTATATTTTTATTGATATTTATACTTAATTTGTTATATGTGATTATACTAAAATTGATATATATGAAAAATAGAATAATTCTGAAGATTAATTCTTTTATTTATTATATTCAATCAAATAATACTCTCTTTGTCTCATCTAAGTAGGTTATTTGGAATTTTATTGTAAATTAAAAATAATAATATTTTATTAGTTAGTGGAAGTGTGAGATAGTTTTGATATTTTTTTCCTTGGTACTTTATGGATAAATAAATTATTTGTATAATGGTATGTGTGTAATTTATGTAAAAGTTAAAAGATATTTATTATTAGTGTATAATTAGTTTTACTATAATAAAAATATATATACTATTATTTTAGTAGGATGAACAAAAATAATAAGAAAAAATATACTTTCAGTTGGAACGAATGGAGTATTAAATATTTTTATCTATATATTTCATATAATATTGTTTGATGATATAAAAAAATAGTTTATTAACAATATTTAAAGATTTTTATCATATGTTTTTATGAAAAAATAAAAATTAAATTAAATTAAAATCGTCAATATAATATTTAAAAGATTAATATAAAATATTGTTGTAAAATAAATATGTAAAAAAATAATAAAATACTGGATGATATTTTTAATTTATAAAATTATAGTATAAATATTGTGGCTAATCCCATCAAAAATGAAAAATTGTTTTATATCTCTTGGAAAAATAAAATGTATAATTAAATATAATGTAAATTATACATGAAGCCTATGTATTAAAACTTACTATTTGTTATCTTATAATTTTTTTTACTATACAAACAACTAGTACAATATTCATATTGGATACAAACATTGTTGTTGGCTCCAAATTCATTATTCGTGGAAGGACCCAAATTACGTCAGTGACTTATAAAAA